ATTTCTCGGAGAGGATAGCAAACATATTAAGCAATGGGCCTGAGGTGAGGGTTGAGGTCTGCTTGGAAGATATTAAGCTTATCGCACGGCACTTAAGGAATGGGAACGGAACGGAACAGAACAGAATGGGGCAAAATGCATTTTACTGCATGGGAGAACACCACTGATGCCGCCGGGAGTCCCCAAGGCATTCTCCAGCCATTCCTGGCAGCCAATTTTTGAAGGACGGTTCAAAATCATCCTTCAAAAATTGGCTGCCAGGAACGGTTTGGGGAATGCCTTGGGGATTCCTGGTGGCATTGGTGGTGTTCTCCCATGCAGTAAAATGGGTTTTTTGCCCCGTTCCGTTCCCTTCTGTTCTATTCCATTCCCATTCTTGTAAGTGCCATGCGATAAACTTAATTGTTCATTAGTGTTGCACATCACAGCATCCTTCTAAAGCTTATCGAAAGCTTTAGAAGGATCCATCTGTCTGAAGCCCATTGCCTAACACATTTGCTGCTCCCTTCCAAGAATATGCCCTGTGCTTTGGGAGCGGGTATTTCCTGCTGCAGGAAGTGAATGGCACCAGCAAATCAGTCACTAAAAATATCCAAGTCTCAAGTCAAGTCAAGTCAGTGTGTCATTTTTGCCAAGTCAAGTCCCAGTCAAGTCACTGAAGCAACTTAATTCCAAGTCAACTGACTCAAGTCTACATCACCAGCTGCTACTGGTGCTCATCACTCTCTCTGAGGTCACTACAAGGCGCATAGCCATGTAATTGACACTGGGCACCACATTTGTGACCTCAGAAGGAGGGACTCATGCCAATGGCAATGCCGCTAGAAGGTACAGCGGGATATGTGTATAAACAGCCAGCCAGCATTGCTCCAGAGTACATAGGTAACAGGGAATCTGGAACAGCTCCAGAGCCAGAATACTCCTGGAGCAGCCTGGAGTATTCTGGCCAGTGTAGATGAGCCCTCTTTTTAATTTTCTTTATTATGCATTTACTTCATTTGTATGCTACCTTTCTCCCAGGCGGGGACCCATGGTGGCTTCCATAAGAACACTTTTCTATTGTCAGGGTTTTCTGCCTGTGCAGGAATGTTTGAATTCACTTTAGGTGTGGTTCCTGTAATCGCCAAAGGAAAATAACTACACATACACCATCACACCCAAAAGAGGTGCGGAGCTGAAGGAATTTTCTCTAGCCACCAGATCTGCTGGCTGGTTATTTGAATCTGGCCTATGTCTATTCTGTTCACTTGATTTTTCAACGGAGCAAGAGAGATTCGTCTTGTCTGTTTTGACTCAGGCGCTGACTCCCTTGGCAAACATTGTTTCAGAACCAATCTGCTGTGCATTTGTTCAAAGCATGAAAGCAAACAAGGGATATTAGTAGACCAATTAGCTTGTGATGCTGATATATTTTTAACATCACTGAATTGATTTTTTTAAAAAAGAGTGGTGCTCAAAAAAGTGAGTGTTGAATTATTTACTAGTTTGCGCTTAGATGTAATGTCTAAATCAACAATGTTTGTTTGATTATTAGATTCAAATGAGAATGACCGTAAGCTCAGGCTGGGATTCAGTTGCTCATGGAGATTTCCACCCCTTTTCTTAGAAGAAAAAGGAGGAGAGAAGGAGGATGTGCCCGCAGTGGTGAAGGAAGAGGAGGAGGATATAGAAAGGATAATTCAGATTTGAACCAAAACTCTTGGCCTTCTGCTTTGGAGCAATATTTTTCTACCCAATTTTATGTCAACAAAATGATTCTATGATATCTATATAGGGCTTGCCCAAATGGTAAACCCTCCTGACTTCTCTGGTCCACATGGCAAGTGGGAGGAATTTCAGGCCTTAAAAGTGGTTGTTCTTGTTATTTCTCTTTAAGTCATTTCCAACTTATGGTGACCCCAAGGTGAACCTATTGTGGGCCTTTCTTGGCAAGATTTGTTCAAAGGGGTTTGCCATTGCCTTCCTTTGAAGCTGAGAGAGTGTGCCTTATCCAAGGTCATCAAGTGGATTTTCATGGCTGAGCTGGGATTTGAATGTTAGTCTCTAGGAGTCAATCCAGTCTCTGTTTAAACACCTCCAAAGAAGGAGACTCCACCAAACCTTGAGGCACGTGTTCCACTGTTGAACAGCTCTTACTGTCAGGATGTTCTTCCTGATGTTTATGTGGAATATCTTTTCCTGACATCCTCACATATGTCTGTACCTGGCCTCCACTCCACCAAATGCATCTGAGGAAGTATATTGAAGTCTACCAAAGCTCATGCTGCCAGTTTCTTTCTTTCAGTTAGTCTCAAAGGTTCTACAAGATCTCTCTACATATTTTCCCTGTAGCTTGAACCCATTGCTCCAAGTCCTAGTTTCTGGAGCAGGAGAAAACAAGCTTGTTCCCTCCTCAACATGACATCCCTTCAAATATTTAAACATGGCTATCACATAACCCATAACTTTCTCTTCTTCAGGCTAAACATTCCCAGCTCCCTAAGTCTCTCCTCATAAGGCATGGTTTCCAGACCCTTCACCATTTTGGTTGACCTTCTCTGGACGTGCTCCAGCTTCTCAACATCTTTTCTGAATTGTGGTGTCCAGAACTGGACACAGGATTCCAGGTGAGGTTTGACCAAAGCACAATAGAGTATTACTATTACTTCCTTCACTCTAAACACTGTACTTCCATCAATGCAGCCTAGAAGCACATTCGGTTGTGATTCCTGCATAATAACAAAGAAGGGTCTATGGACATTGCTGAAGATCAATTTCTGAAATGTTGACTGAGTCTGAATGTGACACAGAATCAGTGGCAGAGAGAGGGAAATATGAGATATTTGAAAAAATATCACAGGAATGTGCAAGTAAAATCAGTACAAAACAAACCAGACAGTCTCAGTTCTTCCACAGATACCTTTCTCTGGACAAGCTCTATGCCCCACAATAATAATAACCCTTATTGTTGTGTTGTGTGCCTTCAAGTTGTTACTGGATTATGGAGACCCTATGAGAGCAGGCGTGGTGTAGTGGTTTGAGTGGACTCTGGAGTCCAAGGTTCAAGTCCCAGCTTGGCCATGGAAACCCACTGAGTGATACATTCAGCCTCAGATGATGGCAATGGCAAATCCCCTCTGAAGAAATGTGCTAAGAAAACTCTGTGACAGGTTTGCCTTTAGGGTCAACATAAGTTGGAAACAACTTGAAGGCATGAAACAACAAAAAAAAGGCAATCCTATCACAGACGATCACATAGTTTTCTGGGGCTGAGAGTATCAGGAACCCAGTGAGTTTCCATGGCTAAACAGGAAATCGAACCCTGATTTTCAGAGTCCTAGTCCTAGTCCTATGCTCAAACTGCTACAACACACACTGTGTAGCTGTGAATACAACCCCACTGTGCATGTGGATGTGAATGAGATGGCATGAGATGCCTGACATGCACATTAGCACATGTGTTTGCACTTCAGATGTATATTCAGTTGGGCAGTATTTCCATTCAGTGCAAGGGTAGTGTAGGATAAGCAGTGCATAACTCTGCATGTAGAAGTTTACACTATAACATAGAATCTTTGCCAAAGTGTTGATTTTGGCCTCCCCACACATTAAGTCGCTTGGGTTCCAAATATTAGAGATACCATCACCCTGCCTTTTATTCACCTCCTCCTCAGACATGAAGATCTCCAGCTGGAATCTCTTCTAATGCCTCCTTTGTCTGAAATAAGGCTGTGAGGGCTTTGCATTGGTGGCAGGTTGTGGAAGGGTCCATCTGCCATTAAACCTGCAGAGCCTTGAAGAAACCAGCCAAGTCTGGCAGACTCAAGAAGAGGGGAGATGTTACTCCCCCAGACCTTTTCAAGCTGCTCTTTGTGGTGCTTTTAGTGACTTAGGTGTATGTATCTACAACAGGAATGGGAATTTATTTATTTTTATATATTATTTTATAGTTATGCAGCCCTCAAATACTATTGCATATCCTCAGACATTTAACAGATGACAAGCAAGACACATGTGGCCAAGTGGTATGAGAGTGTGGCTAAAATGGCTTATTAAAGAGGAAGAATACATAAACTAGGAGAGGCTGCAGCAGTTTGCTTTTGCCTGAGCCTACTGGTAAGAGCAAGATTACTCCCCCCTTTTTCTCTCCACCTCCACCTTCCCCACTGAGTTGAGTACAAATTACTTTTGCACTTTAATCTGGCTGCAGCAATTGACGTAAGTTAAAGCTAAGAGGGGAAATTGGGAGAAGGAGCAAGAAACTGGAACATTTTAAAAGCAGATGGAAAAGTGGAATGAGAGAGGAATAATCAGGACTGTCCCTGCCAAATTGGAACAGTTGAAGGATATGGAGTTAGCTAGCCCCTTCCTTCCCTTCCAAGTTAAGACTTTGGTATATCTTTTGGTTGCCATACTAAGAGTTAGCTAATTTTCTTACTCTAAGCTGGCTGCAAGACAACTTTTGGATAACGCTGGGTATAGCCACCAAAAAGTGTTGGTCTCCAACTCCTACAAACCTTAGCTAGGCTGAGCTAATTCAAAAAAATTACTCTTTGGGACTACAAAATTCAGAATCCCTTAAACACTATGGCCATTGGATGGCCCTCTTTTTGTTGTCTTTCTATTGGCAAAGACTTTTTCCAGATACTTTTCTTTTCTAGACAGGCTTTTGAGAACTGAATATTTTTAAAGAAAGGGCTTTTAAGCGTACTGTGTACTCCTGTTTTAGTTGTACTATTTTTAAATGGCCTTTTAACCATTTTAATTAAGGTTAAAACGGTTTTAATTTTAAACAGTTTTCAATGTGGCTAATAGCTGGATTTCATTTTAACTTTTTTTTTTTGCATAATTTAACTATAGTGTGTGTGCGTGCGTGTTGTGTGCCTTCAAGTTGTTTCTGACTTATGACAACCATAAGGTGAACTTACCATGGGTTTTCTTGGCAAGATTTGTTCAGAGGTTTGCACTTGCCTTCCCCGGACTCTGAGTATGACTGGCCCATGGTCACCCATTGGGTTTTATGGCTGAGGGGGAATCGAACCCTGGTCTCCAGATTCCTAGTCCAATGTGTAAACCACTACGCCACACTGACTGTTTAACTATATTGTGCTTGTTTTAATTTGTAAGGCATGTTGAGTCCTAGTCTGAAGGAAAAGGAAGGGTATAAATAATGACTGACATCCTTCTAGTGATGTACAGCAGTTAGTTCTCTTATGCATGGGATTGTATTTTTTTGGCAAAGGTGTAGAATTGGTATAGCAATGGTGGCAGAACTAAAGTTGAACATGTGGTGCCATTGTACATACGATGCCATGCAGTACACATTGTGCACTGCCTGTTACACATGCAAATATGCAGCATACATTTCAAATGTGCATTTCACATATACAGTTGACCCTCCACGTTTGCGACTTTGAACTTTGTGGATTTGATTATTCATGGATTTGACTAATATGTTCTCTCTAGGAATCTCTAGGTCATCCAGCATGGTTCTGTGATCAACATCCACCAAATGCTGCTCTGGAGGACCTAGAGATTACTAGAGAAAACACTTTTCTAGGCATTTGTAGGTGCTCCAGCACAATTCTATGGTCACCTTCTGGCAGATGTTGACTGTAGAGTTGCACTGGAGGACTTAGAGATTCCTAGAAGTATTCCTTCAGGTAAAAAATAATGTTTTTTTATTTGTGGTTTTCCCAATTTTAGGGGTCCTGTGCCCCTAACGCCAGCAAATGTGGCCCCCCACTGTATTTGTACATTCAGCTGCATGGCGTTGCAATTCAGTAATGCACAATCATCACAGAACTCTGTGAATGTACCATCTCATTGATGCAGAAGATTAGCAAAAGATGATCATGATATTAATGATGGTGACTAGGGAATTATAGGAACTGTAGTCCCCAATGCAGCTTTTCCCAGCTGCTGATGGTTGGGGATGCTGGGAACTGTAGACCCAAGCTTCCCACCCACACTATGATTTTGTAAGCATTACAGAATGATTTTGAGCAGCCAGCCAGGTATGGAACACTCCATCTGGATTTCAATGCAACCTGACTCCAGCCTTTTCCATGAGGATCCAGGTCTGGAAACAGCAATTAGCCACTGAAGTTTGCAGAAGATCGGCCTAGGGAAGTCAGCAGAAAAATAATCTGTGCAATTACTTGCACATCAGTAATTATTAGGCAGCCCATTAGTAGATAGGTGTTATTTACAAAATGAATGAATATTAATGGCCAATAGCACCTCTAGATAAGGACTAGAAATAGTTTGTGTATGTCTGGGGCTGTTTTGCATTTACTAGGATTTCCAGCTCACAGGGTCTGGTCTTGGTGCTCAGGGATAAGAGTGCTCTTTTGAAAAATGTGTTAGATAGCTATTTCCCCCATTTGTTATACTTGGAATTTTTAAAGACAGCAACGTTGAATGGCATACTCTGTGCAATTAAGGTAGCATGGTTAACATTCCCCTTGTAAATATCTTCAGGACCCACCAGCTATGATATCACAAAATGTCTTCTTTCCCTATGTCTTGGGTCTTGGCCCCAGAATCTCAGGACCTGGGATAGTCCTCATCTAGAGGAGCTATTGGCAAGATTACTATAAAAGTACAGGTCATATTTTGTTAAATAAAGACAGCAAGCATATTTGCTTATTCTCCAGGATTTTACAGATGAAAACTAGGGCAAGCAACATCAGAGTGCAGTTAAGTTGTCAAAAGTTCTTATTGAGAAAGAACACACAAGCCAAGAGAGGGTACAGCGGTTTGCTTTTGCCTGAGTTTAGATTCACCCTACTTTCCTCCCCCTTGCATTCAATTAATTGGGGCAGGGGGAGCAAGATTCGCCCTATTTTTCTCACTCCTCCCCGATTAATTGAATGCAAGGTATTTTTGCACTTTCAACTCAGTTTGCAGCATTTGAAGTAAGCTGAGGGGAAAGGGGAAGCCGAGAGAGAAGCTGGATATTTTAAAAGCAGGTGGAAAAAATGGGAGGGAAGATGAGTAATTGGGATTGTCCTTACCAAACTGTGACATCTGAAGAATATGATCTTCATGGTCCTCAGCTGAGAATGGGGGTAAAGCAGCACAGCCAATGTGCCTTAAGGATACCAAAGCAAGGCGTTAGATTATTCCAATTGCTGAGCCAACAGCTCTGTACTATCAATTACACATACTTAGTGCTGTTTGCCAATTAAAGTAATTATTTACCTTGGGAAGTCAGAAGCTGTTTGTTTTGTATCACTCTTAAGAGCCTGCAGCACAGTACAAATGAACGTTGAGTAGAGGAACCCTGTGAGGTTAGCTGATACAAATGATTAGAGATTGACAATCAAGAAAGGGGACTGAGGCTGGAGTATACTGTGTGTATGTTTTTGGTCTCATCTGTTTTTGTTGTTAACTGCCCTTGAGTCAACCTCTACTCATGGTGACACTGTGGATGTGACATCTCCAAGACCCCCATCCTCCCCAGCTCTGTGCAGGTCCTGTAGGCTCATGCCCATGGCCTTCCTCATTGAGTCCAGCCATTTGGCATGCAGTCTTCCTCT